CTGTAACCCCAACCGTAACCCGGTTTCCAATTTGTGGTCCCCACAAAGATATGAATACACGCTCACACACACGCACATGGACAAACATCATGGTGTGTAACTAACAGTGACGTCCGCACGGCGGTCAGCTGGTCGCTGAGGCCACACAGACAAAGATGGACGTACACTTACAGAGTTATAAGAACAAAGAATGTGATAATATTTTGTAGTGTTTACATTCTGTTGTTGTCATTTTATATCAGTCTGGAAGCTGAAGCTGGATGAACTGAAGGAGACTGAAAGCTCCATCTGTGCACTGGGTCAGGTTACTTTGTGCAGGAGTCATTTTCAATGATTTTAGTTCATTTACACATTCAGATTCAATTTAGAACAATTATTAAAAATGTCCCTGAAAGCGCATCACCACATGGTCTCCATGGAAACATCTGTTCTTTATTAAAAACTCATCCAGATCTGCTTTGATGGAACATTTGTGTTACTGGGTCAAAGGTCATGGTTCAGTCTGATCTGTCCTGGATAAGAACTCAGAGCTCCACACTTTCATTCTGAGCCTCCATCTATGAAAGCAACACGTGAGCAGCTGTCAGGCTGGACGGACGTCACATGATCACTCACGCACACAGTATTCATCAGTCAGGAAGCTCAGATTGGACGACTGAAAGTTTCCTGGTGTGCGTGTGTGAATGCAGCTCCTACTCAATGAATGTGAGCTGGACTGAGCAGCACGTGAGGCAGTTTCAGTGTTTTATGGGAAACGTGCAAGCAGCGCTCGGCCTATCAGCAGGCAGGACAGTGACACTGTTAGTGTCGTTCTGTCCAATAAACAAACACGTGGGTATCAATTTAATCTTTTTCTTTTCAGTACTGAAGTTCTGAATGATTTTTGCTCCCCCGGCTCTCGTGCACGCTCCCCCGGCGCTCGTGCACGCTCCCCCGGCGCTCGTGCACTGTTGATACGTGAACGGCGCAGTTGCTCGGAAAGATTCGGGCTCATTAAGATGTAAAACAGACGCATCACCTTTTCTGCCTTTCTGCTTCCTGTGAGGCTGAAGCATGAGCGAGGTCGGTGGGTCGACCAATCGGCTGTTTGTTTCCTCCTCGCGCTGCTTTTTTTGTCGTTTTGGGGGTTTGGGATGATGTCTTCGAGATTAGGCGCCAACACGTTTGAGTCCCGACAGCGCATGCCTTTCACGCCCAGCGCCCGGCTCAATAAGTGCGACGGGAAGTGTGACAGTGGTGAGAAGCGAAGTGAGTAATTGCAATAAAAAAAGTTTTATGTCTCTGTGATACAGTAAGAAATGCATAACTGTAATTAGGTCCCACAGCAGAGGCCACTAAATAATACAAGCCCCCCCCCCCTCCCGGTTTTGCACACTTTCATTCCCTCAGCAACTTCTTTGAAAATTATTTTGCAATAAAACACCGCTGAGCACATTTGCATGTCATGTTCTTTTAAAGTGGCGTTATGAATCTGACAAAACCAAATTAAAACACGGCTTTATTTGAGCTGTGCTTTCACAAGTATGGAAATGGATATGAAAATGAAAGGAAGTGCCAGCGTAACAGAGGGAAAATAAAGAGCTAATAACATGATAAAACATCTCTCAGATTCAGCAGCCAGTAATAACTCTCAGACTGTCTGCGCGGCGGGAGGAGAGCCCAGCAAACTCGCTTCACGTGCTTCCCCGCTCCGCGTTACAACTGCAACCAAACAGTCACACTTACACGCCACGTCCGACGGTGCCCGGCTTTGCTTCTGCAGCTCACCTATCTGCACGTCCAACCACGGCAAAGAACGACACGTATGGGACACCTACTGTGGAGCTTGGTGCTGCGCCCTGTGTGGTTGAGGTTCCCGCTGAACGTCTGCAGAGACGTAACCGTGTTCATGACTTGTTGGCCTGTAATCTCTCAGACGTGCCTCTCATGAATCATATTAAGTCATTGTGAGCCAGAAAGAAGATTATACATACATATAAACGCTCACGGACGTGACATGTGTCTGTTTCTACAGAGACGGCAGCACAAACTCCAACAAGTACACATCACAGAGTGTAAGGATGCTGAAAGAGGCCAAAAACACTGGACTGATCTTCATGCACGTTCTCATTTCTGTCTTTTATATAAATCCTGCTGACTACAGTCTGTTTACCAACATCAGCAAACACGCTGTGTAGTACTGCTGTGAAACACTGCCCCCTGGTGGTGGCAGCTTTAGTTACACGCTGCTGAAGACATCACATATGCAGGAATCAGCATCTGCTCTAACACAGACGTCGCTTTCGTTTCAGCTCAGCTTCAGTTTCAGATGATTTCTGGTCGAATGTGTGGGTTTGTGTTCACTCTCGGTCACCTCGCGTCATTAAACACATGAAGCGACGTCTCAGAGCGAACAAAGACTGACACCAAAGCTATTTTCTGCACACTTTATTTGATTTTTCACTGTTTTTAAAACCTCACAAATAAGTTCAGCTGCTTGTTTTTTCTACACTCTTTGAACCGCACTTTTATGTGCCTGCAAAAACCTTGACACACAACACTCATTCTTGTGTGTGCGCTCACGCTGTGAAAGGTTCATTCTGTAAAAAAAAACACAACACCGGTGGT